TCCTTCTCTGTGTCTCTCTGGTCAAATTAAAATAAATGAGTGAATAAGTAAAAATAAATAAATATTTTTTTTTAAAAAAGAAAGCACCTCTGTGGAGGATGGTCACACGACAGTCCCTTGTCGTTTCTCCCTTTGGGATTTGGGGTATGTGCCCAGGTCTGCAACTTGAACTGCACAGTCAACCATGTGGAATCCAGTGGCCTCAACCACCATGCCATGGGCTGACCTAAATAGTACTTTTCTTTTTTTTTTTTCTTTTTTGGGAGAGGTTTTCGCTATAGGGCGTGTGCACTTGCCAGACAGACAGAGACAGAGAGACAGAAAGCGAGAAATCACCCCCCAGGGGGGATGGACACACCGCTATCCCTTCTCCTCTCGGGATCTTGGGCACGCATGCACACGCGCCCGGCATGAGTTTTAAGCCACCGGGTCCGGGATGTGAACCACAGTCAACTACGTGGGAGTCCAGTGACATAGCCATTACGCTAACTGCTGGTCCCTAAATAGTACCTTTCTCAAAACTCCTTTCTAGGCCAGCCCGTGCCGTTACGGTGAAGGCGCTGGGTCCCTAATAGCAGACCATGCAGTGTGAGCCCCAGGCCTGTGGCCTGAGGAACATTCTGGGCATGTGTGTGCACGTCTAAAATCCCCAAAGGACAGATGGAGAAGGGAGAGGAGGGGCTGCGACATGGCCGTTCCCTGGAGGGTTTACTTTTTTCACCGTCCCTCTCTCTCTGGTGAGCACACTCAGCCCTTGACAAAATCAAGACAAAAACCCTTTCCCAGCTGCTTGGGAAGTTTGTGGGTTTTTGTTGTTGTTTTTGTTTTGAAAGGTTTCTGCTACAGGGTGTGTGCGCTTGCCAGAAAGACAGAAACAGCTAGAAAGTGAGAAATCACCCCCCAGGGGATGGCCACGCCGCAATCCCTTCTCCTCAATTCTCCTCTTGGGATCTTGGGCACGCACGCACAGGTGCCCAGCATAAGTTTAAGCCACCAGGTCCGGGACTTGAACCACGGTCGGCTACATGGGAGTTCAGCGACATAGCCATTACTCTAACTGCTGGTCCCTTCTAAGTTTTCTGAGATGCTCTCATTTTATTATTTTTATTTTTACTTTTTATTTTTTTTTTGCCATAAGACATATGCATTCTCTAGACAGAGACAATGAGAAATCCATCTCCCCTAGGGGGATGGCCATGCCACGATCCATTCTCTCTTTCCTCTTGGGCACACGGTGTGATTTTTCAAGCTGCCAGGTCCAGGGGTTGAACCTTGGCTAACCATGTGGTGCCTTAACCACCACACCACCTGCTGGCCACTATTTTTTTTTTAATCTTTTGTGTTAAACATTTACTCTGGGACTAGCAGTTA